CATAACACAGTTGCTGTCTCCCGGGCCTGGCCATAGACTTGTGTCTTCTTTGGCCTGTATCACCTCAGATTTATCCTCAGCCTGACTTCAGTCATCACCAGCTAAATTCACCATCCTTGAGTGTCCAGAAAATTTCAAAAACAGGCTGTAGTTGATGTTAGAGTTCAGAGAATCCATGGACTTTAGGATCATAAATGAGCAGTAGCTGTGTTTGGGCTGCAGAGGGGGGGGTTGGAGGGGCTGGTTGCACTGATTCCAGATCGCTCCACGTGCAAGCCCCTCCCTGCACAATCTCTGAGGGCTGGGACTGCAGCTGGGGCTGGGACAACCTCTTTGCACACAGAAAGTTCCTTGACCAAGAGGCCTACGGACACTGACATGTGAAGCAATGGATGTGGGGCAGAGATAAGCGGCTGTAGTCCAGGCAGTGAGAATGGAGAGGAAGCTGCTGACGTTCTTGGAGACCCAGCACAGGCTGTGTTCATGCCCTGCCAGCGGAACTCTGCTACTTACTTGCAGTGGGGCCTTGGGAAAGTCCCTTCTCTAGGCCTCAACTTCCTCACATGTCAAGTGCATCTGGGACTAGTCAAGACCCTTCCAGGCCTGACATGCTCTGGTCTAGGTGTCCCAATAATCCATCATCCAGGCATCAAAGATTTGCAGATATGTGGGGCGAGATGGGACGGAGGGGACTAAGAAATGTGCAGTGGGTGTCCTTGTGAGTTTAGTTACCTGGAAGGGTGGGGGAAGGAGAGGGCAGTAGGAAAATACGGTGAGAAGGCGGAAGAGAGAAGGAGGTAAGAGAGGGGGATAAGGACAGGGGGAGCACAGGAGACAGAGGCGGCCACCACAGTCACCTCAGCACTCCTGATGTGCCTCCTGCCTGGGGTACTTTTGTCAGGGATGGGTTCAGTAGTGGCGGTGTGGCACACTGTATTTTCCAGAGTCACAATGGTATCGTGACCCCACGTGCTCTTTCACAACGTCATCTTGCCATTTCCCGATCCAGAGGAGTGCAGTCTAGTTCCTCTCCCTTTAAATCGGAGCTGGCCTGTGACTTGTGCAACCAATACAGTGTGACAGAAGTTATTCTGAGTGACTTCTGAGGCTCAGTCAGAAGCAGCTTCTACTCAGTGACCTTGGGCCATTTGTTCTGAGGGAGGCCAATCTGACTGCCTAAGGCCATCATGCTGAAGAGGCCACCTGGGTGCATTCCTGTTGACAATCCCAGCTAAGTCCTGCCTTCCAGCCATTTCCCTCAAGATGCAGACTTGTGCTGAAGCTGCATTGGACCCTGGAGACCAGCCCACGCTCCAGCTGGTCAACCTCACTTTATACCACAGGGAGCAGGAGAATCACCCGGCTGAACCCTGCCCAGATTCCTGCTGTAGGAGTATCTATGAGATAAAAGGAAATGACTGCTGTTTGAAGTCACAAAGTTTTGTGACAATTTATTATAAAATGAAAGGTATTGAAACAGGATGGGTAGGAGAGATTTTTTTTAAAAGCCCCCTCGTCTCACATAGTTATGAAAACTCTTCAAAATGTATAAACAAGTCTTCAAGGTTTCAGAGATGTGTGAAATCTTAAAACTAATTTGGAAGCCAACTTTTAATTTTGCCCATTAAGGACATTACAATGAAACTACCATCTTCTTTTTTTTTTTTTTTTTTGGCTTTTGTCTTTTTCCCTGTCCGGCAACGGATCGCAACCCTCAGTGTTGCCCTCGTACCGGACTGGGGACCGGCAACGGGATTGCAACCCTCGGTGTTGCTCCCGCACCTCGCTCAGCCAGTGAGCGGGAACCGGTCTGTATGTGGGATCCGAACCCTCGGGCGGGAGTGCCGCCGCGCTTCCCAAGCGGCGCACTATCCAGTGCACCACCGGGCCGGCCCGAAACTACCATCTTCTATAGGTGGCCTTATTATATTTTTTAAAAGTTTATTTTATCATGAATAAGGGAGAAAGATACTACATCCCACCAGAACGGCTACAGTGGGAGAGATCGGCAATACCAAGCGCTGGCAGGGTGCGCTGCTG